TCCTAGAAAATTTTCCTAAAACTACGTAGAATATGACAAATGCAAGTAAAAACAATACTGCTCATTAGTTCAACACTCGAAAATATCTGTAATAGTATTACCCACGCTATCTCTAAATTCGACATGAACACACTCGAACACATCATCTCACTTATATCGGATCAACATGAAATCTACAATCATCGAGACTATTGTACATTGTAGTATACTGCATTCAAATCTCATCTCGCAAGGAATAAGCGTCACATATATGAATGTATAGTAATACGATCTATGACAATCTTGTCGGATAAATCTTTCTCTTAACTTGCTATACGCGATAAGCAGGGAAATATCGATTACTTCCCATATATGTTATACTGATTAATACATAATGTAATATGTAAATATACATATAATGTGCGATAATACATATTACATTAATGTATTTGATTATATAAAGAATCGCGTAACAATATACAAATTGACGTGTCCCAAAGGTTTGATTCAACCTTTCCACGTACCAATATAACTTTTGCATTTCGGACAGAAATGATGGACACTCATGAAGTTGCTCATACAATACGGTAGGCATGAGCAAAGGCAACATCTGAAATTTGAAAGAACATCGGTCAAACATTTTTTTTTTTTTTAGGATCTAATAGAAAACCACATACACCAAGACAAGACGAGAACATATTTGGAAAAAACCGTGCACTCTTGAAAGCTTGAAAGGAGAAGAGCCATATTATAAGTAAAGAGGACCCATATATAAATATTTTAGTGTTTCGAAAATGAATATGAACTGGAAATCCGTGCGCTATTTCTACAAAGCAATGCTAATCTTAAGTCGGAATGAAAAACGATAAACAAAACCAAGGCCAATAGTAAGTCAGTTAAAAAACAATCAAGTATTATGATATAAAACTCGTGTTAATAATAATAATATAAATAATAAAATTATTACAAATATTCTTAATATTTCCTATTCGTAATTTTTAAAAAGGTCTATTACATTTGTATCGAACAATTGCAAGAAAAACACAGAGAAAATGTGTAATAAATAAAAGATAAATTAAAAATAAAATAAGCAGCAAAAGCAATTTTATAGCATAAGCAATGCAAATATTTAAAAAATGAATGTACACTCACCCAAATAAGCAGAGCAAGATACAGCATAGATGAGCACATCGCTGATGATCCGACATTGTGGAAGTTTTAATATTAGCATGACAAGTGGGACACGTTGTTTTTGTTGGATTTGGACTCAAAGAATAAATCATTGGCTGATATACAACTCGAACTTCCGGTTGAGGCACCGCATTCGGATTTGCATTATATTGTGTCTGTGGCTGTGGCATAGATTCGCTGGGCCCAGAATAATTCGGTGGATATGGCACCGTCGTCTGATTCGATGGAATTATCTGAGGAGCGTTATCTGAAATTCCAATTAATCTATTCGTTCAATTGTGTATCATCAAAAATTTATATTGATTTATAATATAAAAATAAAATAATACGTACGAGGCATAGAAGATGACATTGGCATAGAAGATGGTCCCACTGGATATGGAATTCCTACTGGAATGTTTGGTTGCCGAGATATACGAGCTGCATTTTCAACAGCCTCCTCGTAAGAAGGAGGTGCCGAAGGTGGAGGAGCTGAGGGTTGAGTACTTCCACTAGCAAACGCCATATTTTTTTCCATTTCTTCTAAAATAATATTTAAATATAATTTTAAATATCTTATACAAAGTACATGTACTATCGCATATATCAATCGCATACCGGATAAATCTAGCTCTAATAAAAAATAGGTCGAATTAAAAATTGGATGCTATAGATGCTATCACGTTTGAACATAAACAAACATAGACAAATGAGCGCGAAAGTGCTTATGTGCGAATAGAAAGTTGAACGGATGTTAAGTAATAAAGATAATGCAAAGTATGTTGGCTTATAGAACCGTTTCTAGAAAATTTAGAACCCATCATACTTACATTCGTGTTCTTTGTTCCGTCAGATATTACGTTATGGTCTTGCTTCAAGCTTGGATTATATTATTCAAACGTAATATTCAAATAACCACTTAACCTCGATTCAATGTGAACACGAGAATTATAAAGTTTTCAAAGTTATTACGTTTGATACATAAATCAAATATACAAATTATTTTGAAGATCTTTAGTTTAAATCAATAATTTTCAATTTTTTATCTCATATGATAAAAACATTAAACAAATTAATTATTAAAATTCTATGACACATCAAAAAAAGCATTAAATTCTTTAAAATATATTTTTTTTACTAATTTTCAAAGAAAAATATTTTTTTTCCTTTCCAAAATGAAAATAAAATATTGAAAAATTTGGAAATAATAATATTTATTACTTTTCTTCAATTTATATATAAAAATCTTGAGTGTGACTTATCGTGGTACATTAGTATGCCATATCAATTGAAAGTCATTGATATAAATAAAAGATCTTTTCAAACGCAAATATATGACACTAACAATAAAAGAATGTACATATCAAAGTCTACGAGTCAAAGCAAATTTAAATTATTAGTCATAACAATATTCAGAATATAATATATAAGTTAAAAATTTTATGAAATATAAAGAAATTCATAATTTATTTCAATAAATGTTAAATCTATAATAATTTTACATCAAATAAAGTATATATGATTATATAAGTATCTAATTAATAAATAGCATACATGAGAATGAATATTGGTTTTTTTAATTTAGATGCGTTGCATATGACGTAAAAGTTTAATGCATCGATATAACTCTTTTCAGATTTTTGATAAAACTATTTCAATTAAGATTATAATATGTTCTAACCTACATAATCATCTTACATAATCAATAATGAATAAATTTTTTTACAAAGAAAAATAAAAAAACATAATATTCTTACCAAATTGATTTCTCAAGATTTCGAAGTCACGTAGTCGCTATTTGCGAAGAGGAGGTTAGTTATAGTTGAACACTCCGAATTAGTAATGACTTGTATGCACCATAGAAGTTAATATACATATCGTACTATTAGATAGTTAATTATTTCGTAACATTATATAACATTTTTCATGTATTTATAAAAAAAAATGAAGAAAACTACACAATACTTGGCAAAAACTGTCACATTAACATAACTGAAACGACAGACAAGAGTCTGTTGTAATTTTTGCCAACGACCAATCACAGCACTGGTATCATTCCAGAAACGAAACTCAGGAAAATGGCGCGGAACATTTTAAATAATATCATGTGCAAATAATTTTTATTAAAATATAATCAATCGATAAAAATTTTATTATCTATACAAAATTTTTATTATTTTTATAAGTCAAAAAATTTTTTGTATATATGTAATATACAAATATTAACAAAATATTAAAACATTGTTTGATTATTAAAACATTATTTGATTCATCTTGATTCGTAGTATCGTGCAAACTTTTGCCGCGTTTGGATGATGGTGTGGTTCGATTTTTAAACAAAAAAGTGCAATATATTTATCAAGAGATAAAATTGATGTGTCTAGAAAAGAAGTCAGTTCTTAACTCATTTTTGTAAGTAAAAATATAAATTTGATTAATATAATAATTTTTAAATATTTCAAATTCGATGCAATTTAATTTTATTGGCAGAATTGCCAATAGATAAGTGATTCAAAAAAATTGTTTACTCTTTTAACAGTCTTTTACATGTTTATTATCACATATTTATACATTGCGTTTTTATATTAGTTATTTATAATCTGAAAATTTAATTTAATTACGAAATTAATTTTTAAGGAATTTTTTTTGAATTCGTTTCATAAATCTATTATTATAATTTGTTGTATTTTACTTATTTCCATGCAATTTATATTTTATATATTTCACACGATGAATTTCAATATAAGTAATCTCGACAAATTTATAATATCTTAAGTATATTTCTTTCTTTTCTATATTAATCATAAGTTGGTAACAGTTTCTGCCAGATATTTCTGTTACTTATTGAATACAGAAGTTTATAAAATATTCTATCAAATACGTTTGAAATTATAATTAATTGAATTTTGTATATTACTTATTAGAATATACAAAAATGTAGCAGTATATATAATAGTGAATATTTAAATATAAGATTGGAACATAAAAAGTTCCTTATAGGTTAGAAATCATGAAAATAAATTTATATTTTATATTTCAAATGATAAAAGAATAGTATTTTAAAACAAAATGAGATCATTAAAAGTTATTCATTAAATATTTATATTATATATAAATGAATGAAGCCATATTTATTATATTAAATTGTATAATATAATATTTTCAAAATGATGCATTATACACCTTGGATCCATCATCAAACAGTACTGGACAATCATCAATGTTATACACCATATATAAATACTGTGCCATCTTATCCACATAATAATCATGAGCAACAACATATTACAGAAGAAGAGAGTGAGCAAACAGGAGATGAAACACATGATACAATGACTTCTGCTACATCAGGAGAGCGTAGTTCTAGTGCTGATATATTTAGATTAGAATTTGCAGCAGCCCAATGGTCAAAATTAGTTTCAAATGCAGAAGGTCTTTTTACTAAGCTTATGACAAGTAATATTTTACCTCATACAGAACAAGATCAAATTGAACAATGGCTTTGTATGAAACAAGAATATGAAGAATGTATTGCTAGTGATGATACTGGTAGTTTACAAGGTTATACGGAAAATGCAAGAAGATCATTAGAAAGAATAGAAGAAGTAACTGAAACTGATGAAAAAACAGATGAATCTATACATCAAATGGAAAGAAAAATTGAAATAAATTGTTTATCTAGTTCAGAAAGTGAATTATCTGAAACTAATGATGATGATGAAGAAGAAGAAGAAGAGGAAGATCATAGTGATGTTAGTTCAGAAAATCCAGATTTCTTAGAAAAATTAGACGAATGTATGAATAAACTTAAGATAGAAACAGATAGAATAGTTGATTCTACGAGGGATGAATTTAGAGAAACAAATATAGAGATTATTCCAACTGTGGCAAGATCTATAAATAATACTAATAATAATGTCCTTGTAACTAGAGCTGTTCCACTTAGAAATCCAAATTCCAGGAGGAATTCAATGCTTCCTGGTTCTGAAATGTGTAATGAAGTATTAGCCTTCAACGATAGCCTTAAACCTAACCAAAATCAAATTTTAGATAATAAAACTTCAGCATTTACTAGTATAAGAATATTAGACAATTGTGAATCTGAAACAATTATTAATGAAAATCATGCGACTCATAATGATAATTCACCAGATTTATTAATTGATGCTTTGAAAACAACAGAAATGCCAGAACCTATTAAGGAATTGAAAACATTGACATTAAATAACGAGGCAAAACAAACTCAAGTGAAAAAAATTCAATCAGATTTAGATGGAGCTCATAAACGTATAGAAGAGCTACAAACTACTATTAAAATCAAAGAAAAATTTATCGCAGATATGATAAAAAATTCAGATGCGCGCGCTAGCGCAAAACAAAAATTTCAACGCAAATGGAGTAAATTGGAAGAAGAATATTATAATACAAGAAGCCAATTGGCTCAAGCTGAAAATGCTTCCATTTACAAAGATTCAGAAGAAAAGTCTGCCCATAAGAAAGAGATTGAGTTATATAAAAACATGGCCATTCATTATGAAAAGAGATTGATGGATATTGAAATGATAAAACAAATTGCAGGTGATTCTGCTAAAAAAGTATTAGAACTTGAAAGTTCTTTAAATACATCTAGAAAACAAATGGAAAAATTGAAGAAACAATTGAAAAAAGAGGAGGAACGTAAGAAACAATTAGAAGAAGAATTAGCAGAGGATCAGAAAAAAATTCGTGATCTCGAAGAAAAATATAATTTAACAGCTTCCAAGTTGAAGGAGATGCAATCGGAAAGCGAGGATGAGAAAAATAATAGTAAATCTAAAACCGATTATTCTGATAAAAAAAAGAATTTATTAGACGTTAGTGCGAGAATATCGCATCTTGATCATGTTTTAAAAGAAAAATCGATGGATTTAGAAAGAACGGCGGATATAGACGAAAAGGAAGCTTTGCGTCACGAAATTCGAAATCTACGACGTACTCGTGATTGTTTAGTGGACGAGAAATGCGATCTAGATGAAAAATTTCAAAAAGAAAAGACACTGTCCACTGTAGAAGAGAGGAAATTATTGGAATGCGGAGAAACGATCGAGGCGATCGATGCTATGATCGAGCATAAGAATGAAATGATTTGTGGACGGAAGGGATTCGATGAAAATCAATCACAGCGTGAAAAGGGAGAAAGAATGTTAATGGAAAGATTGGCGAAACTTTCAGATGGTGAAATGAGAACTTTATTCTATAAATATTTTCTAAAGGTAATCGATTTAAAAGAGAGTTCAAAAAATCTGGAAGTTCAAACAGCTGAATTGGAAAGTCATATAGAAACTCAGGAATGGCAAATTCAAACGTTAACAAATGCTTTAAAACAAACTAAATTGGAAGCAGAGAGACGAATAGTTTTAATGCAAAGGGAACATGAAGAAAAATTACATCTCATGTTTAGACATTTTGCAGAAGAAACTAGTAGTTCTGGTCATGAAAGATTGGACAAAGATTCCGAACTTGCGAAATATAAACGTGAAAATAGAACGTTGAGAAAACGATTAGCAGATGTTGAAGCTCTTTTGAAAGGTCCAACACCACCACGTACAGCTAGTCCAGCAAAAATATCACAACAAGGGTTGAAACAAATTCCACCATGTAATCGACCAACAACCAAAGTAACTAGGCAGCGAAATAAATTGATAATACAAAAAACCACTGACTGCGATAAGAAAAAAAAATAAACTTCTCTGAGAAGTTTATTATATTTTATGCTTCTTCTCTGTTGACATTTCTTTTTTACTCTATTTTTTTATTTTTTGTACAGTGTCTAGCAATTACATTACTAATTTAATAGAACATACAAATGCACATTATCATTTTTTTTTTAAATGTACATTTTATATTAAGTATTCAGAAAAGTTTTTATCGTTTTCTAATTAAAGAAAAATTAAAGAAATATCGATAAAAATTTTTCTAAACATCTAATATTATTTAAAAATACAATCAATAGATTCTTATTTCGTTATCGCAAATATTCAATTTCAGATTTTCAGGAAGCAAATCCTTCAAGCATAATTTATATAAATAATAAAGATATGTAATTTTATATTCATTTTTCCCTCTTTCGTTCGATCGTCAATCAATATTTATTATATAATCATGAAATAGATTCGATTTATAGTATATATTTATAAAATTAAGAATATTGAACCTCAATCAAAATAGCATTTGCATGTTTGCCAGATCTCAATTAAGAAAATAAGTATTGCATTTAAATATGATAAATACAATCAAATATTTATTATATTGTTAATTATTTAAAGAAAATAAAATCCGAATTATTGATGATCAATTAAATGCTCGTTGTATTAAATATAGTATAAGTATTCGATAGTACATTGTACGCAATGTACAATGTTAGTAGTTCCATTTAGTAACAATAGATGCATTTTACACTTGATAGTGTAAAAATCTTATGATATTAAATAATTTATATAAGATAATATTCTTTACTTCCGATATATTATTTATTGCAATTTTGTAAATATATTAATAATATACATTGAATACAATATTGAACCCTTTAGGCCCTCGCTGAAATATAATATAATAATTTATTTATAATTTATGAAATCATTAAATTCCTATATACACACGAAAGTAATAACAAAGGCCGAAAGAATTAATATCCTTTACACTTTCACAAAATGAAATCTAAATAAATATTCAATTATTGAAAAAAAAAATGTGTTCTTCATTTCATGATTAAATGCAGAATTATTTTATTTTTATAATTTGTAGAAAAGTATATAATTTTTTTTTTTATATATATCAATTGACATAAAATTAATAAAAAAAATATCAAAATATTAATTTTTAAATAGATTATATATATTCTTTATAAAATATCTATGAAAATTTATCAACTGTGGTTTCCGTAGTGTAGTGGTTATCACGTGTGCTTCACACGCACAAGGTCCCCGGTTCGATCCCG